TACTCTTATGACCCAAAGAACAAAGTCTCAAGTTCATGGTACAATTCAAGCCTTCCCTTGTGGCCCCGATTGCTCTCAATAACTCCACCTCCCACTGCTCCTAAGTACTTCTCTGCTCTCATCCCCTGGGCCACTCGCTGTCCAGAACCTTCCTTCCTCTTTCCATTCTGCCCTCACAGCTTTGTTCCCTGTGCCCTTCACTCCTCGTTGGGAAGCCTCTCCATTTCTCTACTTCTCTTGGAATCTTCCCCAGCCTCCAGGCTGAGATCACGTTCTCTTTCCTTCTTAAAGCCTTTCTACCTCCACTTTAATTGGGTGTTGCTTCTGTAATCACCATTTTCTGAGATCCTACTATGTATCAGGTACTGTGCTAGGAATTTGGCACGGGTGATCTCATTTAAGTCTGGAAAAGGGGGTATTATTTTCATATCAGATTTTGTGGTTTTGTCTAATGATGAACACCTGGATTGTTCTAAATCTGTTATGAGCAAGGCCGCAGTGAATGACTTTCACATCAGCCTTGCACATGTGTGCAGGAGGGTCTGTAGGAGAGATTGAAAGGCTGGGACTGCTGGATCAAAGGGTGATAGCGTGCTGAATTTTTATTAACATCTTCCGATTTTCTACCCTGGTTCTTGTGCCATTTTTCATTCTTACCATCAATGTGTGAAAGTACCCCAGGCTTCCCTGCCCATCACCAACTCCTGGAACCTGCTGAAACTCATGTCCATCGAGTCAGTGGTGCCATCCAACCATCTCATCCTCTGTTGTCCCTTTCTCCTCCTGCCTTCAATCTTAAGGTACAATACAAATAACTATTTGATAAATACCAAATGAGCAGGATGCCACCAAGTGCAAGTTTTCAGCCCAGCCTGAATATCATTAACCCAGTGATCTTGCATTTTCTATGCCTTCCTTGTATATAAAACAGGCAAATTTGGAGACAAGTGAGGGGGAACATGTCACCACCCTGGCCACTGCTTTCTGATATATCACAAGAGACATAGCTGGTCCCTCACCAGGTGCTTCAGTTTGGCCATGAGAGTTGCCTCCAGAGGGGATAAACAGAAAAACCAAGCCTCTGAACAGGACATGGATAGACAAGGAATCTACCTGTGGTGTTCCTGCCATATCCTTCTCACGGTCATAGGGAAGATAATGCACCTGCAGTTTTGGGCTTGGTCATTTCTTTCCAGCTCACAGCCCAGATTCTGTGATTGATGACTTAAATTATTTTCTTACTAATATTGCATATTAATCTCCTTGTGCATACCCTCCAGCACAGCTCCAAATTTGGATCGGTCTAGTGCTTTCTTTCCCCTCATGCCTGAGCAGTTAAATTTTGATAGTCATGCAGATTCCATCACTACAAATTCACCATCTCCAATCTAACCATCCCACATCAATCCCATAAATGCTTTTCAACTTTCAATTTTCAACTCTCATTTTTCTAATGACTATTCCAAACCCTCATCACCTTCCCAGAGTATCCTTTTCAAGTCTTACATCTTGAGTTCTCTAAGTAACGCACCCTCCAAATTCATCGGGATAATTGAAGGCTTTAGATATCAGAATTTTAGAGATCTATCTTTGGCCGCAGTTTTCCATATTCTTCCTGAAGCTTCACCTCTACTTTCATAGTATAAAAACTACTCTTTGTTGATGACTTTCAAACCTAGACCCTGCAGCTTGGACTCTTCTATCTAATAGATACTTTCACTTGGAAGGTCCATGGACACCTCAAGCTCAAAAGTATCAAAATCAAACACCATTCTTCCTCTAAAATCCATCTCTCACGCAGGACATGGCTCTCTTCCCGAGTACCATGGGTTTAGAGAGAGGGTCACCAACTTCTCAAGCTAGAAGGCTGATGTCATCCTCAAGTCCTCTCTCTTTTTTACTTTCCACATGTCATCAGGTTCCAAATCTTGCCAAGATTTCCTTTTGTTTCTGGAATTTCCTTTCTCTTCATTTTTCTACAGTTGTTCTACTTCAGTCTTTTGATCCAGCCTGGACTGCTTTGGAAGCTTCCAAATTGTCTGATCTCAGGCTTGGATCCCTTAAATCTGTCATTATAGCTGCTGCTTGGTGATCTTTCTAAACATGAATCTGCCCATATCACACTCCCCACTGCACTGACGAGTCCCAGTCTACAGAACCGAGTCTCAGCTGCTTGGCATGACATGCACGGCCATCTGTGATCTGGCTTTAGCTTCCTCCTGCAATTCCTTTCCTTACCAGTCCCTACCTGACCCCTCACACTTCAATCACCAAGGAGTATTTGCAGTTCCTTTGAGCTGCCTCCTTGCTTGCCTTTATTCATAATATCCCCTCTGCTAGATGACCCTCCCATTCCTTCACCTGTACCTGGCCAGCCCTACTGTCCTTTAAGGCTTAGTTCATGGGTCACTTCTTTTGGGAAGCCTTTCTTGACAAGCCGCCCTCCACTCTCCCCAAACTCTAAACTGGGTTGGCTACACTGACCCTGTGCCCCCACACCTTGCTTGTTCATTGCACTGAAGATGTCTCAACACACTTATCCACTGATGGGTCAGTATCACAATTTTTGTGTGTGCTCTCTGAAGCTTGTGTTGGGTCCTATTTCTCCACGTATCTCTCTGCCTAGGAGTGGCATAGAGTTCAGTTCAGTTCACTCAGCCATGTCCGACTCTTTGCGATCCCATCAACTGCAGCATGCCAGGCCTCCCTGTCCATCACTAACTCCCAGAGTCCACCCAAACCCATGTCCATCGAGTTGGTGATGCCATCCAACCATCTCATCCTCTGTCATCCCCTTCTCCTCCTGCCCTCAATCTTTCCCAGCATCAGGGTCTTTTCAAATGAGTCAGCTCTTCGCATCAGGTGGCCAAAGTATTGGAGTTTCAGCTTCAACATCAGTTCTTCCAATGAACACCCAGGACTGATCTCCTTTAGGATGGACTGGCTGGATCTCCTTGCAGTACAAGAGTAGGTACTCAATAATACTTGTAAAATATTACATTTGTAAGTGAACAAATAAGTGAATAATTCATTAATGGGAAACAATTTGCCCCTGAAATGAATTCTCCACTTTACAGGTAAGGTAGCAAGGGAGTAATCAGCATCCAGAAACATCATGATTATTTCTCAGGCCTGATTAAGAGTAACAATACCATGTGTGTGTGCTGAGTCGCTTCAGTCATGTCTGACTCTTTGCGACCCTATGGACTGTAGCCCACCAGGCTCCTCTGTCCATGAGATTCTCCAGGCAAGAATACTGGAGTGGGTTGCCATGTTTTCCTCCCAGAGGATCTTCCCAACCCAAGAACCAAACCCCCTGTGAATTGAGCCTGCCTCTCTTAAATCTCCTGCATTGGCAGGTGGGTTCTTTACCACTAGTGCCTCAAATAGGTATACTGATATTCAAAGGGCACTATGAGTCCTGGGAAAGCCCAGCATCAATGAGGCTCCAGGAGAGAACCCTCAAAAGTCTGTAGAGGAACTGCTATGGGATCCTTACAGAGTGCTGCAAGAAACCTGCAGATTTCGTTCATACAAAACCCTCAGTTCAAATAAACCTTCACTGTTTACAGGGCATCTTATTTACTGATTGAAAAAATCATGTAACATACCTTTAAGTTAATAACATACAGACTCGGTTTGAATAAGTAAAAAATGAAACAAGAGAACAAAGAAGTAGAGTTCTTTTTTCCCTCTCCTATACTGACTTTCTTAGGACCCGATGCGTTCATAAAGACCCTGGATGTAGCTAAAGTAAAAAAACTAAACTGTCTGAACACCACCACACTTTCATAGCCTTTGCATGTGAAATTCAATTAAGAAGGTAGTGAAGTGAAAGTCGCTCAGTCACGTGACTCTTTGCAATCCCATGGAAGGTAAGGAACGTCATGTTTCTCCTGATGTTCCGAACTGAGTGTTTTTGAACTCCAAGTATCATTAGAGCTCTTTTTTGTAGTTAAATAGTAAGTGACGATGATGGTAAAAATTAACTGCTATTATTATTATTAATATATAGAGGTCACAATCCTCGAATGCCCATGCTGTGGCAGGTGCTTTCCGCTAAGTATCATACTCATGCTTCACAACAACCTTTTAAATACAGTAGAAATTATTTCCCCCTTTTCTGTTTGAACAACTGAAGTTCAGCGAAATCAGATCAGTTGGGGCACGTCCAAAGGACAAGCTGGAAAGACTCTGGGGCCAAAGGCCGAGGTGGTTGCAAGACCACGCTGAGCCTCTCCTAGTCTCTGGGAAGTTTTGTTACCTGCCTGCGTGTATGTGAAGGCAGAGCGGGAAAACCGGTGAACCCGAGGAAGATTCACCGCCTAAGAATCTAAATACTAAACGTGGGGCAAAGGCGAAGGAACCAAAAGCGGCGGGAAGCCGGAGCCATAAGGCAGACACTAGGTAGGAGCTGAGAGAAGGGATGGACTGGCTGGCTCCGCAGACGACTTAGGTGGAGGGATGAGGGGCGGGGCCTGGGCGGGGAAACCGGGGACCGAGTAAGCCAGAAGAGCTCGTGCTCGAGCCCAGAAGTGGGCCGCCCCAAAGGCCGCCTCTCCCGGGGAAGTAAAGGTGAGGGGGGAGGGAGTGCAGGCATTATGGGAAACTCCGAGCATTGCTAAGGCAGCTCATCCTCCCCATCCTAAACCAAAGCAGAGACTTTCCTCTCCTTTCCTGGGGGGGCGCCCTTGTAGCGCAAGCAAGAGTGGGACAGGGAGAAGGGCCTGCCGGAGAGCACTCCCCCCCCGCGCTCGTTGGTACGGCCCGTCCCCCCGCCGCTGATCTGGCAGGCTGCGCGCGCACCCTGCGGCGGGGCGCGGGCCGGCGGGGAGCTGCGGCCTCCGCGGCCGGGTTCCCTCCTCCCGCTCCTCGCGTGCTGTTCGCTGGCGCTGCAGCCCCGGCGTGCGAGGCGCCGCGCCCTCCCGCTGCCCTGCCCGGTGCATGGAGGGGCCCGTTCGGATCGCAGCCGCCGCCGCCGCCGTAGCCGCCGCCAGCGCGCGGGGGATGACCTGGGGGTGGCTTTCGGAGCCGGCTGCCGCGCAGGAGGTCTGGGGGCTTAGCCAGCCCCGCTGAGAGGTGCGGGGGTGGGGTCGCACCTAAGGGTGGGCGGGAGGGATGGCCTGGGGACACCAGGCTTGGGCGCCACGAGGCTTGGGAGCTGGAGGTCCGGGAGAGCGGGCTGCCCGGGAGGGGCTGGGGGTTCAGGCTGCGTGCGGGGTCTGGGAAGGGTAACTGAAGGATGCGCAGCGGGGAGCTCCTAGGTTCCCGGTCCTGGGGACTCAGCCACCTCGTGGAGGAGGCGGGGTGAGGTGTCAGTGACACGATGCAATCTCTTTGACAATGATCCGCTGGGGCAGGTGAGATGAAGCATAGCGGGGTGCAAGGGGCGCCGGATCGTTTTCCCAAGGGAGCCGGATCTCTCGCCTCTCTCAACCTCCATCCCCGCGGAGCGCCCGAGAGAGACAGTGATTTATGTGTAGGGAGAATCAAGAGAAATTTCCTGCACAATGTATCTTTCTCTGCCTTCACAGACTCAGTGACTTCCCAGCCCCAGGGAGCGTATTTTTTCCTTCTCCTCTCTAAAGCATTCTGTGGATTGCATTATCATTTGCTAAATACATTACAGCCCGCTATTTATTTTATTCTGCAGCTTCCAGACCTTTGTTGCATTCTCTCCACATCTAGGAATTTCAGTAATAAATCACCGAGGGGCTAGAGAGCCTCTCTCGCCCTTCCCTTCATTGTTCTCCCCAGCCCACCAAATCAGGTGGAAGGCTCTCCAAAAAGAGATTTCTCCAGAATGCCTGTTTTTCCCAGTTCAGACTCCAGAGGGTGGCAGGTGCCTGAAGGGCAGGCTGCCTTCCAAGTTGGCATCTAGAATTGAGGGAATCTCATTAACCTCTGTGTCCTTAAATCAGACACCTTGAGAAACAGAAGACTGGACTAAAGGAAACATGAGATACAGTCTCAGGCCAGTGGCCAGTAAAGGTGAACAAGGCCAATTCTCCTTCCTTGCCTCCCTGATGCCACAAGCTGCAGACTTTCCAGCTGACTCTTGGCATAACTAGTGGACTGTGTCTGGTAGGAGAGGGTGGGAGGGGACTGGAGCATGAAACAGGTTTATTCTCAGTACAATTCTAAACAGTCTATTATATTTTATAGATCATTTTTTGGGGGGTAGTCTATTTTAGCTGAGAATGTGGGAGTAGTTCAACTTTTAGAACAAGATGAAAGCGACCTCTAGAAAATTTCTGGAAAATTTAAATGAGTGCTTAACTAGAAAGCATTCTTAGGAACCCAGAGAGGCACCAAATACTGTAGTTTCTGTTTTGCACATGTGGAAATAAACTGCCTCATACTCTAAGTTATATGAGAAGGATGGAGAAAACCTGTTTCATTTCGTAAAGACGTGCCCTGGGTGTGTGTTTGGCAGCGTGTGGAGCAGAAACATTTATATTTCTGTAAAACACGCACGCACACACACACACACACATGTGTATATTGTTTAACTTTCATGCAAAAACTCAGATATAGTATTTGGGAAATCTGTCTTTGTTTGAATAGTTTAGTCAACCAGGAAAATCAGTTACTAGAGGTACTGTGCTATTGTTTGTGTAGTAACTCACTTGGGACGCCTTGATTGATTGCCATGGTTCTCATCAGCCTCCTCTTCTGTGGAAAGTACTTAAATAGCTCTGACCCTCCAGCCAGGAAGCACAGAGAACCTTTAGGACTTGGAGCATACAGATCTACCTCATGTAGGTTGGCTTCTAAATCCGTGTTACTCGTTTCTTTGCAGGTGGCTTGACTGTGCATGGAAGGAACTAAGTTCATTTTAAGATAGGACAACCCCCCACCCTCCCATCTCTAAGGTATATGTAAAGAGGAAGTCTTTATGTTGGAGTAAGAACTTCTGCCATAGGGCTGGGCTCCAAGAATTTCAGGTAAAACTTGACCAGTTCTCATGCTTTCTTTTTCTTTTCTCACTTTTGCCATTATGCTTTTGTGACTTTCTAGATGATTTCATGTATGTTTTTGTCAAAATGGAAGTCGAAGTATAATGTTGCTTCTTTAGAAATGTTTCTTATGCAGACGTTTGGACTTGAAATCGGTACTGTTTGTAAGTGAATTGGTACTGTTTTGAAGTAAAATACTGGATAAATTATCTCAAGAATGAAGCCTTATTGTAACAAAATTGGGCTGGAGATTGGAAATTTAAAACGATTAAGTGAAAAATTTGTTATTTTTTAACACATTGTTACATTAGCTATTGCCTTGTAGTTAGCATTTCTACTGTAGCTAAGGCAACACATCAGAAGGGAAGCCTTGACGTCTAGGGATAGTCTTTCTATAGACATATGATCTTACTACTTAATAGAAGCTAATTAGATTAGAAAGGAAATTTGGAGTCTGGTTGCTAAATAGATTGCTCTGAAGGACTTGATTTAATGTGAGTTTTGATGGGTGCTTTTTTCAAGAAATTTTATTAATGTGAATTAGAGAATGCTTTATTGTTTGTATTTAAAATCTTACATTATACGTAAACATTTCATTGATTTATAAGCACTCCATTTATAAATGTTGTGTATATGGTACTGACTCATTTTTCAGGAGAATAGAAAGGAGAGCTTGACTCTCCTCAGTTACAATGAAGAGATAGTATATGGGATATATTTAATTTCACTTTAAATATATTGGATTACAATTAAATGAAAAACTGGTTTGTTGGTTTTTTTTTTAATCCTTCAAGTTCTCCCTCATTGTCTGTGCCCTTTCCCCCATTGTCAGGCTTAAAACATACAGTATCATTGTCATCTGTCCCCTGAATAATGGTCCTGAGGTGATATTATTAATGTGGCTTTTTAAAATCAAACTAATTATACTTGCCTAAAAGAGCCACATGTGTGTGATTCTAGCTGCCTGGTGCCTTTTGAGAGCCCTGGAGACAAGCTAGTGAATAGAGCTGAAAATTCATTCTGTATTTGATTAAATGGAACAGACTTGCTGCTCCTTACCCCAGCAGGGGCGATGAGATCTCTTGATCCCCGAAGCGGCTCCAAGACCCTGGGAATTCCATTAGCGAGCACCTGAGGAATTTCTGCCCTGCAGTGCCTTTTTTGTGTGTGTGTGTGTGTGTGTGTGGAGAGGGAGGGGGGCCGAGTGGTGATGGGGGGGTGGTGGTGGGCGTGGGGACGGAGAGAGGCTACGTTAGAAGACTCCATATGTTAGCGGATCTAAAATCAAGGCAGGATTTAACAGCTTATCTTGTAAGAGAAGAGCCCAACCCATAGGCAGATTGCTGGCCAGGACTTTCTTACCAGCACGACTGTGGTGATGCATCTTTACCCTGAAGTGCACGCCACTGTAAGTACAGAAAGTCACTTTTCTGCTTTCCCTCCGAAGCACAAGCATATACACGTTGCAGACCTGGTAAGTTTTCTCTGAATGATCTTTTGATAACTATGTAAAATCGTGGTACAGTTCGGTCTCGCCTGTAAGGGCCGCTTTATTGTTTTAATAACTTTTTCAGCCAAGAGCAGAATCAGACTTTTCTGTGAGGCAGAGTGTTTTGCAGAGATGAAATGCTTGTTTGAATAGGCATATTTGAGTTTGCTGTCTTGTTTTTATATGACTTTTATTGTGTTTTTGTAACATTATTATCACAACATTTACCTTCGTGCAGGATATGTCTCTCTCTTCTGTTGTCTTTTGAAGAATTCTGATTGCTAGGATTTTTTAAGGCATCGCTTTGCACACTTGCCAGCGACCACAAATAAATGAAAATATATCTGTCATAAATATTCTGTAAAATCTTTGGAGCAAAATTTTTGAGAAACATCAGCATGTCTGTCCACTCCACCCCCTCCCCAACCCTCACCCCACCCTTCTTCCCCTCCCCTGAATGAGTTTTGAATACAGACGCTCTTCAGACTATGAGCCTGGTTTGTTCCTTGTGTGTTTTTCAAGGAAGAGCAGTTCTGAATCTTGGGCATTCTACTTAATTGATTTTCATCTTCCAAGAATATTTAAAAATGAGTGTGAATTCCAGCGCTTGTAGCTTTCACCTAGAGCAGAGAGCAGTAGCCTATTTGATGGTTAATTTGATAGATTTTGTTTCTGATTAAAATCTTGTTGTGTGTCACAGATTTCCCCATCCAATTCCTGTGTAGTCCTCTACTAGAGCCTCCTAAATGTTTAACACTAAGTGTTTAAAAAATGAAGTCTTTTAGAGAATATGTTTAACTTTTTTTTTCTACCTTCTTCCTGGGCTTGCATTCTACTAGTATGGTCAGATTGAAAAGACTCTGGAATGAATGGAAGTAAACACTAAAGTTAGCATTGGGCCCCTCTCTTTTCACAGTTTTTAGGAACTTTGCTGTGTGGTGTATTTTGATGGCCAGAGATAATAAAAACTATCCCAAAGCAGATTTTGTTTTACTACCTGTCAGTTGGAATGTGAGTCAGGACTTCAGTTCTTGAGAACCAGGGCTGTGCTTTTAACCATAGAGTTAAGAAACTGTGAAGTTCCATACTACTTGAGAGGGGGGGGAAATGCACAGGTTATGTTACTGAACTGAGATGTATTCTGCTTACATTTGGTTACAATATTTTTATATTGCTCTTATGTAAACAGAATTAAGAAGCTGACATACAGCTTGCTTTTCAACCATTCTTGTCATAAATTAGCTCATCTGTTTTTATTTGTGTGAGTTGGGAAAGTGATTTTGATCTAAGCCTTGATTTCCTTATCCCTAAAATGGGGCTAATCACAGTAGTAACTGTTAGCATTGTTTTGGAGTTTACGTGAGATACTGAAAGTAAAGCACTTGGCATATAGTAAGACCTCTATGAATGTTAGCTGCTATTTTAGGTAACTCCTCCTGTACACGTTAGTCTGTTACTTTGATCCAGAAGTGATTTCTTTTGAAGATTAAATAATGAGGAATTCTCCAAAGTTAGTAATAGTGGGGGCACATGGAATTGCTCTAGCTTCAGTATGCTACAGTTCTTTTCCTTTTGCAACTGAGACTTAAAAGGCACTTGGAAACAATGTTGCATTCCCCCCCCCCACTTTGAGGTATAATAGAAAAATGTACACAAGTGTACAGTTAATGTATACTGAGCGAACAGCCAGATGAAGTTTTATATATGCACATGTGTGGTAACCATTACCCAGATCAAGATGTAGGACATTTCTTCATCTTGGAAGGTGCCCTGGTGCCCCTTCACGGACTTGTCTGCCGCCCCTAGCCGAGGACAGCTATTTTGACTAGTCTCAACCATACGTGAGTTTTGCCTGTTCCTGAACTTTATAAAAATAGACTCACATGATAAATATTCTTTATATCTGGTTTCTTGCACTGCTCCTTATGTCTGAGAGCCATCTCTATTACTGTGTATGGCAGGAATTCATGCTTTTCCAATTGTTTTTGCATCTTTTGCCTGTTCTGAAATCCATAGTAGTTCATTTTATTGGCACATTAGGTGTGTGGTTATTGGGAAAACAAGAAAATAACATCTCTTCCTCAGTCATTAGATCCTAGTCACTATCTTAGAAAGACCTTAAATTTGTACATGAAGTTGGGTTGAAGGTTCTGTCACCTTCAGTGACAGTTCCATGAACCAAATCCTTTGATAACTGCCTTAATTTGTGTGTGTGTTTAGAAAGGGAGAGAGGGAGCCTCAAATTAAGGACCATCTAAGATAGCTAATAATGTTCATGCTTAGGATTTAATGTCAAAATCAATACTTAGCATGGTGCATTCTAGAAAAGCAATAACTAGCTCAGCATGAGCATCATATTCTCTTTGGAGAAAGCGAAACAACACAGTGGATTCATTAAAAAAAAAAAAAAATCCACCCATAATGGAAGAAAATGGAGCAAGGATATTGTTATACTGCAGGAAAATTTTGAAGAATGGAACCTCACACTTGTATCAGGAAGAATTTTAGTCACTAACGTTCTAACAGTTGCTGTCAGTCTCTGCCTATATGTTTGGAATTTCTATTTGTATTGTTGGAATTCCCTACTACAAAATAAGTAAAATTGATTTCACCAAACAGTGAAATAAGAATACCAGATGATGTGGATGAATCAGAAGTGTGGTTTTTGTTTTTAAATTTTGGAAGGGGCTGCAGCTGAGGTTAATAGTGTGTGTTTCTGCTCTTGGAAATGTTGATGAAGCATTTTCTGGGTGTTCTGCTGGAGAAAGCCACTTCTTTCTCCAGAGACATTGTCTTTTTCAATGTTTGTAATTTTATTAAATCTTCTTTTTCATAGTGCCTCGACACCAGGTCCATCTTCACATACAGCTGTGTATAGGATGGGTTCCTTTGGACTACAGGGGGCAAGTGGTCCCCTTTTCTCTTAAATCAGAACCCCAGCAGCCAAGATTTCACTGGGGGTGGGGAGAGTTGAAATAGTGATATATGAGTCATCTTTTGTCCCAGAGGGGCACTTGAAAGATGCAGATTTTGTTTCAAAAGAAGAACTATTGACAAATAAAGCTGCCTCAGGACAGAAAATGCTCCTTTAAAGGGTGTGAGCTCCTTGTTGCTAGACATGTTGTAGTGGCGTTTGCAAAAGATGCTGCAGAAGAAATCTCTTCCTTGGGTGAGAGTTGGGACCTCATGACCCCCAAAGGCCTTTTCAGTATGAGCCCATGAGACGGGCTCTCCTGAAGGGACCGTGCTACTTAACCACCACGTTCAATAGTCCCCCCTTACCCCAGGGATCACTTGCTGCAGTTTCATTTCCCTGGGATCTATCACAGTCCAAAAATATTACATGGAAAGTTCCAGAAATAAATGATTCATAGGTTGTAAGTTGTATGCTGTTCTCAGTAGTGTAATGAAATCCTTCCCCCCCACCGCCACCACCCAAGAGCCCCAAACCTTCGGTGTTGTCCTGCCGCTGACATCCAGCCATTCACTTCGTCACACC